GCAGCAGTCAAGAAATCAAGAGGTGTATTGCATTGGGACAATCAGTTGTCAAAGACCTCTCCAAAATGCTAAAGAGAAAGGATTTTATTTCAAAGACTCAGATGTCTCACTCCAAAGAGCGAAAGAGAAAGGATATCATTTTAAAGGCTAAATTGTGCCATATTCTTTTCATTTGCTTCCTATGCTTCTGAAGAAAGTTGGTCGATGAGTCAGGATCACAGAGGAAGAATTGATGCCTTTGAATTGTGCTGTTGGAGAAGAGTCATGAATATCCTGTGATCTGCCAAAAGAGCAAACAAGTCTGTCTCGGAGGAAGTGTAACCAGGCTACTGCTTGGAGGCAAAGATGGTGAAATTGCATCTCACATACTTTGGACATGTCAGGAGAGCCCAGTTCTTAGAAAAAGACACCGTAATGGAAAAGGTGGAGAGTCAGAGAGAGGAAGACCTTTGACAAGAAGGTTTGACACATGGCTCAACAATGGTCTCTAGCATATCAGAGATGGTAAAGATGGCAAAGGACAGGACAAGGTTCAGATCTAGTATTTAGAGTCATGCTGAGTTAACCTAAGAACAACTCACAATCAACACTATTAACGCCAGCAGTCAGGAAATCAAAAGATGAATTGTACTGGGAAAATCTGATGTCATGGGCCTCTCCAGAGTGCTGAAGAGCAACAATGTCAGTTTAGAGACAAAGAGTGTCTAATCCAATCCAGGCTATGGTCTTCTCAATTACTTGTTATGCTTCAGAGAGCTAGACAATGACTAAGGATGACAGAAGAATTGATGTCTTTGAGTTGTGGTGCTGAAGAAGAGTCTTGAACATGCTATGGACTGCCAAGAAAACAAATCAGTCTGTCTTGGAGAGCGTGAAACCAGGTATTTCCTTGGAGAGTAGGATTTTGAAGCTCCACTTCACTTACTTTGGGCACATAGCCAGAAAATATCTGCCCTTGAAGAAGGACATCATGCTCAGAAGGGTGGATGGACAGAACAGAAGAGAAAGAGCCTGGATGAGATGAATTGATACAGTATGTGGAGCAGTGGGGGTTGATGTATCAGAATTAGTGAAACTGGCTCAGGACAGGAAAGGGTTCAGAGCTGCTGTACCTAGGGTCCCTATATACCACAGGTGACTCAATGGCACATAACAAAAACAACATAATATATTGGCTGGTGTTTGGTGGTTTGTTTGGTTTTGGTTGGTTTTTTTTTATTTTATTTACGGCTCTTGTTTAGAGTCAACAAGACATTGGGGATGTCCTTTGTCTTTAAAGTTGGTTTTTATTACATTTTGGAGGCACATTCTTCTAAGTGGTATAGCCCTCTTCAGTCAGTATACCGTACTGAGGTAATCTGGGGTTGTTGTGATACTGAACCTTGTGCTATTGCGGTGTCAAATGCAATAACAGTTATTCATGGTGGCCCATGTTTGGTGGAGCTCCCAGTTTAAAACAAGTTTGGAAGCAGGAGTGGCATCCACTTCCTAAACAACATGCCTTCGGAAACTCAATATGAACTTTGATAAATGCCGATAGTTATAGGAAGGCTTCAGGCCTTTTGTTCTAGGTTCACTATGAGTCGTGCTCGACTTGAAGTCAGTCAACAATAACAACAATATCAACTCACATAGATGTCAGTTCCAAATGATCTTTAATTATATGAACTACATAAGCATTACAAAAGTAATGATTACCTACTGTTACAATTTACCCATCAAACAGCATAAAAGTGAATGCTAGTCTCCACTCTTTGCTCATTTAGAATAGTCATTTTAAAAAATAATTTGATTTGCACTTTTCCATCAGTTTTTCCTGCACACTTTATGGTCTTAGACTCCTCGTTGCATTTTTAACTTGCATTTCTCTCCATCATTTACCAACAAAATGTGGACATCTTTTGAAGCTGAGACTTACTACCCATCTATTTGCTTCAATAAGGTGGGAGTACTGGCTTCCAACCATTCTTCTTTTGTGTTCCTAAAGTTTAACTCTTATTGATGCTTCCTCGGTAAGTATTTTTTTACAGACAGATTTCAATCTTGGTAATTCCTGAAGCCTATGTCTGGCTGGTGCACCTCAAGCACGGCTAACTCCTGTCTCTTGTTGGACGCTCGCGTGTCCTGATGATGGTGATGAACAGATCTCTCAGGAAAGCATTCACACTAAAACTTTTGAGGAAGAAAAGCCAGGTCTTCTACTTCTGATACACCCAGTAAAAACCAGGTGGAACGCTACGGTTTGGTCCACCATCACTTTGTTCTGTTTGCATGAGCCCCCCATGTATTGAAGCTCACCTCGCATCGGTCAGTAACAACAGCTTCAACTTCTCTTAAATAGAGAGCGAATTGGAGCCTCCAGCATTTTGTAACCTGAGAGTGGTTGAGACAAAGCCAAGCAAATAATAATAAGTTTGGTGTATCAATTTTTATTGACATGCCTACCATGTACCAGACTCCACAGTTAGGTGCAAAAGCTAAGAGCTTAGAGACTTGGTCTCTGTTATCAAGCAGCATGTGATTAAATGTCAAGACCAATGTTACAAATGATATATCTTAGTATAGCTCCGTGTTGAAATCCTCCTAATACAGCTATGCCAAACTCCAACCCTGGAATGCAGCAAGTTCTTATTAACTCTAGGGCATTTTTGCCTAAAATAGTCCTTCTGCGTACCTTCCTTTAAATCTTTTTACTTTTTTTAAAAAAACTTAAAACAAAAAGGCACATTTTTTAACTAAATCAGAGAGAAGTGTTAATTTGCCTTTCTAATGCAGCCAGTAATTTCCAGTTGCTCACTGTTTGTGCCACTCTTTTCTTCCACAAGCTGGAAGTGAAAAAAGAAAATTTTCCCACATAGAAAACCATGTTTCTCCTGTCAGGCCTTTGACACAACATTTCAGGGCCGTGCTTACAAGGAGATACTTAACTGTTTCACAAGAAGGAGCTGCAAGTTACACAACCAAGTTAGCTCATGAAATACCATTTGAAAGCACGTTAAGCAGAACTCAATGGGATTTTTTTTTTTTTTAAGTTGCTATGAAAATGGTGTCTTCAGAATTGCTTTTTAGTCTTGGTGATTTTCCTGCAGAAATGTTAAAAGGTTCAAGATACAATTTGTTGCTGAGCTGTGAGGAGCCCACCTAGCTGGCAGCCTCTAACCACAGCATCTTCAGGGTGGGGCCCAGTTTTCCAGAAAAAGCCCCGTGCTTCCCAACAACGCAACAACCCCAGCCAAAGAGAGAGATGCTGAGACCTGGCCAAGAATGGGCTCTCTTTGCTCTGCAGTTCTGGGTTAACCAAGGCGTTGTCTGTCTGCATTACAATCTAGGACCCTCCCTTACCAATCCTCACCTTTCCTATTCTGGATATCAGATATCATCTTACCATCTGGTTCTCCCTGCCTAATACCGTCTCTTCCCACGCTGTCTAACTTCTTCTCATTTTTGGTTTCCTGGAAGCTTCATTAGGACACAACACTTTCAAGACAATACAGGAACAGAAACAACATTTATCTGATTTGTAATCCCTGGGTGGTGTAGATAGTTTAGCACTACTTGAAAGGTTAGCGGTTCAAATCCCCTTCAGAGATGGCTTAGAAGAAAAGTCCTGACCATCTGCTTCAGAAAGGTCCCTGCTCCCAGAGAGCCCACAGGACACACTTCTCCTGTGACACACACGAGGTCACCTTGAGTTGGAATCAGGTCAGCGGCCCCTGGCTAGTGTCTGCAGCTGATTGAGAGGGTAAGTCTGTACCCCCTTCACGCTGGATGTTTTTGTGCTCGTCTCAGCCTGAAATGAGTTATGAGTCTTCCAAAGTGAAGCCGACTGTTCCGTTTCAATTATTCAGCAGAGACACAAATGAAAATCTAGCTCTAAGAAAACGAACTCATATTTTTGAAATTTCACCCCAATCCCTGGAGCTATTGCTTACAGGCTGAGGTAAGGGACTTATTTTGGTATTCCTTTTGTGTTTGGTAGGAACTGATTAGAGCTGAGACGTCAGCACTATTCTTCTTGATCAGATGCCCCCCCTTGTGGTTCCACAGACTAACAAAGAGGGTAATCCTTGTGTTCTTGCCATTGCAGGGGAATTCGGAGAGGTGTACAAGGGGCGCTTGAAGCTGCCAGGCAAGAGGGAAATCTACGTGGCCATCAAGACCCTGAAGGCCGGCTACTCGGAGAAGCAGCGTCGGGACTTCTTGAGTGAGGCCAGCATCATGGGCCAGTTTGACCATCCCAACATCATTCGCCTGGAGGGAGTGGTCACCAAGAGCCGGCCGGTCATGATCGTCACAGAGTTCATGGAAAATGGAGCATTGGATTCTTTCCTCAGGGTAAGAACCCCTGAGGGCTGTTGACATGAGCCTCTTGGACAATAGGAAATCCTAGTTCTTGCAGAGAATCCAGATGTAGGTTACCAGCGTGTGATGAAATGAGGCATTCAATGAAATGTGGACAAGGCATTTGAGAGGTTAACAGCATTAACCAAAATGTGTTGCTAAAGGGAGAAAACACACGAAGTATGTGTACCCACCTGTAGGAGAATAGCATGTATCATGGGCTTGATAAACACCTGTTGGATGTATGTGAATGAATAGCTGTTGTTGACCGGGGTCCAGTTTGCCTTCACATCAGCCCAGCCGCCTTCCCAGCTGACTCTTGTTTGTAGTTCAGAGATAAGATAATGTTGTTGTTTTCTGACTCCTGGGAAACCTAGTCTCTGAGGATACACTTCTGGGTGGGAAAGGGGGATAATGTATCACAGCATCCTCAGATCTTTATCGGGTTGTTGAAGAATTGTGACACCACCACCACCAGCCCCCCAGCCAACAATAGAGGTGAGATGGACTTGAAGACTGGAGAACCTTTAAGAGATCTTTGAACATGCTCCAAGTTGGACCAGGTCCTAAATGCAACCTATGGTGCAGTGAATCAATTTTATATGGGCTTTCTCTCCATGCTCTTACACCTCTCACCAAATGATTGAGTAAGGCTATGCAGCTAAGGTGCTTTTGTTCCATCATGGAGATCATGAGGCAACTGGACAGCTGGCTAATAACTCAAATAAAGTTCATTGCACCCTTGTCAAGGTGTTGATGTTGTTATGTGGCATTGAGTCAAACCCATTCATGGCTGACCCTCAGTGAGTTTTCAGACGCTGTACGTTGCACTAGATGAAAGCGAGCACCTTTATCCTGAGGAGCAGCTAGTGGTGTAAGGAACCCTAATGAGAGGAGAGGTTAGGTTTGTCATCCTTCTCAGCTTAAAATGAGCCTTCTCAGAGTTAAAAAGAGGAGACCTCACTATTGCCAAGAAGAGGCAGAAGCAGGAACCCAAAATCCATGCGCTGAGAACCTCCTAGACCTAGGAGGCAGATAGATCTATAATAGCAGAATAAAAGCTTAAGATGAAAAGAAGGAATGGCAGAGAAACAGCAGCAGGAGATGCAGGAGATGGTATGTTAGAATTCCCATCCAGCAGAACAAGAGAGCTGAGCACTTTTAGGATGAGAATCATTGGTAGAATAGGGTGCCCTTGGATACTTACGTACTGGTAGAGTTAAAGAGCTTTGCCAGAGCGGTATAAAAGCTGGGCCAAGGAGTCAGGAGGAGTCAAGGAGTCTAATCAATGACCGTATCCTGAGTTATTCCTGATCATGAATTGTAATCTGTAAAATCCTTAATTCCTGTTGATTCCTTAATAATCCCATAACTGCATGATCTGTGAGTCTTGAATGGTTATGGCAATGAATCCCTGATACCTGCAGAGAATAAATGCTGTGGAAAGAGCAGCTGATGCCAGGATTGGTAAAACATGGGGGTCTGTCTTACCTCCACTGACAAGAATCAGCTTTAAGATATTGATCATGATTTTCTTTCTTTCTTGAAAAGTTTGTAGAAATCAGATACATCTCCAGACATTTTTTACCATTGATTTCCTCCTCCTTTTTCTTTCTTTTTTTTTTTTTTTTTGCTGCTGTTGTTATGTGAAATTAAGTTGACTCAGACTCAGTGATTCTGTGTACAACAGCCCTGAACTCTGCTCTATCTTGAGCCAACCTCATTGTCTTTGACACATATATTCCCATTACCCCAGCAACTAAGTCAATCTATCTCCTCCAGGGTCTTTTTTTTTCCCTTACACTGTCCCTCCACCCTTTCAAGCATTATGAGCCTCTCCCAGACCTCATTCATCCCTCCTTGCAACATGCCCCAAATATGTCAGACAGAGCTTCAAAATCCTTGCCTCCATGGAGCAGCCTGGTTTCACCCTTTCCAAGACTAACCTGTTTTTATGGAGAGTTTTTTTTCTTGTTGGGTTTTTGTTGTTGTTGTTGTTTTTACTAGAGTCTGTTTTATTTCTCTTCACTCAGTGATGGGGTGGATGATAATAGCCAAGATGCTTCTCTCTAGAGAAGAGAGTATCAGAGAAGGAGGACCAGTGTACAGTATCAAGAATTGGAATGGCGCCTTCTGAGCAAGAGTGATACCAAAAAGTAGGCTGCACACATCACCAAGGCTACCGTATAGCAGCAGTGGCTGAAAATCACAGGGCCTTTCAAATGCTCATGGGGAGAGAGATAACTTAGACCTAGAGACACAACAACAAACATCCTTTACATGAATTTGTAACTTAGGCAGGCTCAGGGGAGTAATTTTTGTTGTTGTTGTTGTTCTGAATACATGGTTTTATTACTTGCCTCCTAACATTCATCTGAAGTTGCTCTGTAATATATGTTTGTGATCATATTTAAAGTACTTGTATTTGCTTTTATTTTATATTGGTTTGCTTACAAAGTTCATATATATTGTATTGTACACTATTCTTTTTTTTCTTTGTGCTTCATTATATAACTTTATTCAAAGTATCATGACATAGTTTTCTAAAAACGGAATGAATAATGCATCTTGTGTCTTCCCTAAATGGATACTTTTCAAGTGTAGTTGTGTTGGAATCTGAACCCTGGCTCTTCATTTCCATACCTGGCCTTGCTGCTTTAACGGAAGACCGACTTTCTGGCTTTATTTGGCTCTTTATTGGTTCTCAGGCCCCTCACTGAATATGCACACACTCACCAAGGGTTTTCATCAGGGGATGGGCCCAGCATCCCAGTCATTTCCCTTCATCTTGCAGTTCCTAGAATGCTTCTAGGCAGGGGTTCCAATATGAGAGAACTATACCTTCAAATCTACAGTCTACCCCATTAGAGCTTCCTGGAGATCTTAGCAACTGGTCTGGGTCAGATGTGGAGAAATCAGGCTGACCCAGCTTCCCCCCTCCTTTGGGAAAAGTAGTTTTCAGGTAACTATTCTTCATTCACATGGTGTTTCGCAGAGTCATTTCCACACATTATGTTTTATAAAATGAATCACCATTGGACCTTGCTCATCATTACCCTGTCTTTTCACAACCCCGCCAGATCTTTCCCATTTCCTTTTCCCCCTCCCTCTACCCCCACTAGATTGTGCAATCCTGTGATTTCACCTCTACCCATCCTCACCTCTCTGCTATAACCTATCTCCCCTTGAGTCCTCATACGTGTTTTACTAGGCATACTTCTGTATTTACAATAAGGGTTTTTATGCAGTATTTGTCCTTATGAGACTGAGTTCGTTCACTCAACATTATGCTCTCTAGTCTCTCAAGTGAGTCATTTTGTCACTGTTCAGTTGAGTTAATTCAAAGACTGTCTTTGGAATTATCTCAAATTTGGCTCACTTATATTGACAGTTGGTTGTCAGCTGGAACTTGTCCATCTAGTTTGCTTGGAATTCCTCAGAGAAAGCAGAGTTCAAGAGCAAGTTTACCAAGTAGCAAAGCGAAAGCTCTATTACCGTTTATCATCAAGCCTTGGAAGTCACATGCGTTGCTTCCACTGTAGGTATAGACTCACTTGGACTAAAGGGGAGGAAACAGGTCTTATGTTTTGGAGGGAGAACAGCAAGTCAATGTCTTCTTATTCCTATGAAATGAGAGATTTATTACAGACCTCTTAGAAAGGGGCTCTGCCATAGACTTGGTCCTTGTATTCAAGGACCTCAATCCACAAAAAATCTCTCTAAATTATGAGAACTCTGCCCATCAGGACTTGAGGCACTTACTGCAGAAGGTCAAAAGCTAAGGCCTTCAATATTTATTACATATCAACATCAAGAAAACAAAGAGCCTCACCCATGGACCGATAGGCAATATCATCATGATACATGGAGAAAAGATTGACGTTGTCAATGATTTCAGCATACTTGGATCCACAGTCAAAACCCTCAGTACCAGCAGTCAAGAAATTAAAAGATGAGTTGGGAAAAACTACTAATAGGACCCTCTCAAGTGAGTTCTAAAGAGCAAGGATGTCCATTTAAAGACTAAAGTGTGCTTGATCAAAGCCATGTCTTCTCAATTGCTCGCGATGTATCTGAAAGTTGGACAGTGACAAAGGATGGCAGAAGAATCATTGACGCCTTTGAGTTGTGGTCTTGGAGAGAATTACTGAGTATACCACAGACTGCCAAAAACTAAACAGGCCTGCCCTGGAGAAAGTGAAACCAGACAGCTCTGGAGAGGTGAAGAGATGAAGCTTCATCTCACATACTTTGGGAATGTGGTTAGGAGGGCCCAGTCCTCGGAGAAGGAAATAATGTTGGTAAGGTCAACGAGAGAGGAGGACTCACAACAAGATGTACTGATACAGTGACTGTAACAATGGGCTCATGTGGGGGGGAAATGGGAGAATGGTATAGAATAGGACAAGGTTCCAACCCATTGTTCATAGGCTCACTGTGAGTTGTAGAGTATTGAAGGGCATGTGACAACAATGTCAATCAGATGTGGGTACAGGCAGGTAGACTAAGGGAATAACATGTCCAAGGGCTGTTTCGTGACTTTCAGCAACTGTTTGGTGGTGGACCCTGAGCAGAAGCATTGTTGGTTGTTGTGTCAGAACCGACCTATAGCTGCCCCTCTGGTGGGTTTCAGAGGCAGTTAATCGCATGGGAAAAGATTGCCCATCCTTCTCCTGCAGAGCAGCTGGTGGATTCGAACTGTGTGCCTTCACAGATGCAGTGTAGCTTTTTTACCGCTAGGCCATCAGGGCTCCCTGAGCAGAAGCCTAGTTCTAGGGATTATAATGTGGAGGAGGATCTGGAAGAGTCTTCTAGAAGCTGAATGTACACAGAATTGGAATTTGCAGGGCAAGCATCCACTTTGTTGTCTTCTGTATGCAGCTCATTAGACCTTTCTGGTTTTATATTTGATATCTGATCTCTATGGGTTTTATATTTGATGTCTGATATTTATGGGAAAGGGACATCTGATGTAGATTAGGGGGCCCTGAAGC